CGTGGGAGGGCAGGGCCGGGAGCGCTCCCAGAACCCTCGGGGATGGGGATAGGGATGGGGATGGGGCGGAGCGGCCCCGGCGCATAAAGGATGAGGGGCGGGAGGTGTGGAGAGTGGGAGGTGCCTCCCAGGGAAGGTGGGAAAAAAAAAACCACAAAAAAAAAGGCGCTTTTCGTCACGCTGGTCTCTGGGTTAAGTTTGCGGCTCGCCAAGCTCCAGGTCTTTCCCGGGGGCTCCCCTCCCTCTCCGCCCGCAGGTATTCAGTCTCGTGTTCTGATTTGCAGGTATTCAGCCTCAGGTTTGCCCCTTTGAGGCTGGGCGCTGCCAAAATGTGCTGGAACGGTGTTCCCCCCCTTCTCCCACCCCCCCCTTCTCCCATCAGCCTGGAAAAGGTTCCACGCTCCACCTCTCCTCTCCTCTTCCAGATGGAGCCAACCATGGAGTCCATCTTTTCCATCTTCCAGAGCCCCGGGAGCAGTGATTCTGCAGGGTATCCAGGTGAGATGAAGGCTTTTGCCCGCCGAATCCCGGAGGAAGGAGCGGGGCTCTGCCACGTGGTGCCGGAGACACTGCATTCCCAGCTGGCTGCTCTGCTCTGCCCTGGGATGATGGGATGGGATGGGATGGGATGCCATGCTGTGCCAAGGCTGCCGGTGGGATTCCGTGTTTCCTTCTGCTGGGGGCTTCTAGCCCCCCCCTCTTTTAAAACAAGGCAAGACGGATCATTTGGAGTGAAGGGGAGCATCCCGCTTCTCTTTTCCAGGCTCTTCCGCGGTCTGATGGAGTTGAGCGACCCCATCCAGAGTGCACGACTGGTTGTGGGTGGGAATGGAGGGTTGTTTTGGTTCCCATTTCACTGTTCTCCGACAGACCCGGAGTCTCTGCAGGGCTCTTAGGGAATAACCAGCCTCGTGGTTGTAGAGTCTTCATTCCTCTGGGAGAAAGCTGCCCCTTGGGTGTAATTCCTTTATGTAAGAGATAGGACTCCCTCCCCCAGTGGGTTGGTTGGTTTGTTTTTATGGCTGGTATTACATCTTGGGAGCTGCGGCCGTGCAAATAGGGAGCATTTTGCCCCTTCAAGGAGGTGTTAGTTGAGAATTTTGTTCCTTGGTGTTGTAGAGGTAGGACTGAAGCTGCACTGCAGAGTTTCGTTTTCAATATAGAAAGCCTGATTTTTTTTTTTTTTTTTTTTTTTTT